AGCTCTTACTCTCTTTTCAGTCCAACCTTGCCCGCCTTCTTCAATCCTACAACAGCGATCATCATGCAAACAATCATGTAACCAAACATAAGCCAATAGCTCGCCCTATACCCCTTCAACAAAGCCACATCATCTTGATCCTCAAACGCTGCTCCACTTTCCCCATCACCATGGCCGGTACTCCCTGTACTCCCACTCTTGGTCTGTACTCCCAACGCAACGACCTGACAACTACCCATACCCAGGCTCATACCAAATTGCGCGACGGTGTTGAAGACAGCACCCGCCAACGCCTGTGTCTTCTCTGGGAAGTTGTCGCTGACGATGATGAGACCAACAGTGAACAGGACATCTGCGCTGAAAGGGGCAAATATCTGGGCCCAGAAAGCAAGCTTCCAGTAGCTCCAAGCGGGAGGTACGACTGCCATTAGGAGAGGGGAGAGGGCGCAGATGCATGCGGAGCCGGCGACGAGCCAGCGGGCAGGTATACGGTGGATGAAGAGGCCGACGAATATCTGGATTAAGACACCTGTTGTCAGGTTTGGAAGAAGGTAGAGGGATGTTGCTAGCGTCGAGGCGTGTTGGACTTCTTGGAAGCTGTTTTGAGGGTCAGCTTTAAAATACTACTGAATCGATATCATTTCGAGAACACGTATGTTCCGGATGATACATACTAGAGGCTGGAGAAGAGTTCAATTGAGTTCATGACGCCGTAGGATAGCGCGACCATGATGCATGTGCTGGTAAAGGGTAGGTTGTTCCACAGTTTGTTCGGTACAAGGGCTGGCTTGCCGCATCGTTCACGGTAGTGCATCCAAGCTGGAAAGGCGAAGAGAAGAACAATGCTGACAGCGAGGAGTGAGGCCGTCTCTGCTGAACGAATGCTTGTCAGATCGGCGCTGATGATACTACACGCTGTTAGCTGTTTCATACGCTTACGATAGAACGGAAAGGACATACGCTAGAACGTATGCAAGAATTGCTAGTCCGCCGCTGGAAATCATGCCACCAACCCAGTCAATCTCCCTGCCAACCTTTTTCCAAAGTGCAATGACACCATCTTGGTTCTGAGAAGGAAGTTTAGGTAGAGTCCAAATGGCTCCCACAGCAACAGCCAATAAACAGCCTCCGGTCAGATAGAAGCCTACCCGCCATCCAGCTCTTTCAATCATAACACCACTTAGTACCAGACCAACAGCAAACCCCAGTGGCTGACTAAATCCCAGACACGCGAAGCCAAGGTTTCTCGCTCGTCCCGACGGCACAGCACCAGTGATGATAGCAACAGAAGCAGGTAAATGCAACGCAAGTGCCACTCCCTGTAGAGCCCGGAAAACAACAAGCTGGGCACCTGATTGCGCAAAACCGCATGCTAGCGTGAAGATACCGAGGAAGGTGATACCTGTCAGCTCAACCGACCTGGCGCCGACTATATCGGCTATCGAGCCAGCAATGAGCAATGCTGCCCCAGATGTTAGACCATAGACGGAGGAGGGCCATAGGTATAGGGACCGTTCTAGTGAAATGGAACGGGCGATGATGGGGAGTCCGACTGTGATGATGCCATTGGTAAAGCTGGCTATGAAGCCTACAAAGGAGGGGGTGAAGATTGTAAGGAAGGTATGGAGAGTGGACACTCTTTTCAGGGACGGCGCTGTGGAAGACTCGGCGTCGGATAAGCGTTGACCAAAGATTGGGGCTTCTTGCGATGGCCGCTGAGGGTCGGGGATTGCGGTCTTGGGTATCGCTTGAAGTTCGAAGACGTCGGTCGCTGTCACAGTCTGCGTTGCCATATTTGACTTTTCTTTTCACGAGCTGTTAGTTTGTGCAGTTGATACGGCGAAGAGCATTATAAATAATATTCTGGACCTTGCACTTTTGACATGTTAATAGACAAAATTTCTTGAGGACTAGCTTGCGCCCTACGAGTGTAGACATGTCAAAAACCAGGGTCCAGCGTCGTTGGTAGGATTTTGGTCCACAACGACAAGCTGTAAAAGAGAAAATTGACGCGGTTTTTCTAGAGCTCTACTAAAGAGTATGCGTCAGGCACGAGTACGAGCGACAAAAGAAAGGCTACGATATACGCGGTACATGAGGCTAGTCCGGGGATGCGGACCTCCCGCAGAGGGTCGGATGCAGGGCGCTGCAAGCCCTTTATGGGGCCTGGCTACACCGCCGATTCCAGGTGTACATTGTTCGCGAAACAGCGGTAAAGAAGGGCAATTGTTGGGAAGGAAGTGTGCTGTAACGTTTGATTTAGACGGGAATCCAATCAATCGAGGGCTGCCGCGTGGCATTGGTCGTGGTTGGTGTTCCAGGCCGTGCTGTTGCTGCATCAACGCGTTGTTTGGGTGACGTCGGTCGCGTCCCCAACCTCGTCCTAACCTCCTGCATTTGTTCACCAGCCACCCGCACCCAACACGCATCAAACCAAAAGTTAACGGGGGCTACGCTTCCACATTCCAAACCCCACACTACACATTGCTACTACTGCTCACCCAGAATACACTCTGACTATTATCTGCCAGTTGCATTCGCTGTAATCGACGCTGCAATCGACCTGCACCTGCGAAAACACAAACACGACTGTTCCGCCTACCATGGCGCCCCATCCTGAGATTGCGGCCGACGGGCAGGCACTCTCGCCCATGGCCGTGAATGCTCTACAGCTGGCCAAGTCAATGGTCAAGCGTGAACAACCCGCACCATACAAGGACCTCGCCTCAGCAGGCGCACGTCCACCAAACGACCTCTCCGGACCGGGCTTCCAGGCTCTATTTGCCCTCATCGGTGTCGGACTGGCACTTGGGGCCATCTGGTTCTTCTTCTGGGCCAAGAATGGCGGCTTCAAGTGGCGCGAAAACGATTGGGAGGACTACAAGTCGACGGTGCTGAGGCGCAAGGGACCAGACGGCAAGACACTATCCAACGCAACCAAGAGCACCAGGCTCGGTGGTGGCAGTGTCGTTCACGGTGGCAGCTACTTTGGCGAGCAGAGCGAAATTGCTTACACTGACGAGACCGGTACAAGCGTCGACGCCAGCGAGTACCGCGACGCCGAGCGAGGCGAGGGCGGTCTTCGTGGTGGAGATGGACGAAGGCATAAGAAGCACCGCCGCGACCACACCAACGACTACAAAGACCCCGAGCTCCGCAAGTACCGCGAGGAGAAGGCTGCCCGTGTCGGCGGCCTCAACCGCGTTGGCGACGGCATGTACACTGATTATTCTGGCTCTCAACCTTCTGAAGTCGGCGGCTCTCAGGTCTCGAGTAACGTACCACTGGTCAAGAAGGAACCCAAGGACCCTAAGAAGGAGGCCAAGGCTAAAGAAGCACGTGCAAAGGAACGTATGCGCAAGGCCAAGGCCGCTGAAAAGGAAGCTGCGAAGAAGGCTGCCGCCGAAGAGAAGGCTCGCAAGGAAGAACAAAAGGCAGAGGCTAAGCGTGCAAAGGAAGAGCAGAAGAGGTCCAAGAAGACACCCTCGGAAGCTCCCGAAATGGCTGAAGTCAACCGCCCCATGATTGAGTACCGATCCCCTCAGAGCGACTACAACCCTGGACCTGCATACACCGAGTACACTGCCCCATCTGAAGCCGGCACACCCACACGCGCTCCTACAAGGAGCAAAGCACCATCTGGCCCCCGTCGCGCTCCTCCCTCTGCTGCATACTCTTTCACTACCGGCGAAGATGACAACGCAACCGTCTACACTGGCGTCTCCACTAGCGACTTTGCCAAACCTCCTCCACCCAAGGCCCCCAAGACTGAGCGCTCCGCACCTTCTGAAGTCACCGAGTCGAGCTACTACTCCGATTACCGCCCCAACGCCGACAAGTCACTCTACTCGGACCCCAACAAGCACGCCCCTCGCTCCCGCTCAGCCCGCCCATCTCAGGATCGCCCCCGCTCTGGTCGCCCAACCTCCGAGTCTCGTCCTCGCCCATCAGGCTCCCGCTCGCGCCCAACCTCTGAGTCGCCCCGCAAGCAACACCGCACTTCTCGCCCAGCACCTCCCCCATCCGACATCTTCACCACTACCAACGGTGACTCCCAGGGCCACATGAGCTACCCATGCCACATCCCTGGTCTTAGCCAGGCCGGCAGTGTACACCCCATGGAGAGTGTCTCTCAAGTCGGTGTCCCGACAAACGCAAGGAGGGAGCGTGGTGGCAGAGACGTCATGGACGGCTACCGTCGCGGCGGTGTCCGTGCCGTCGGACGCAGGGACAGCTTGAGCGACAGTGACTAGATTCGTGCACTTTCTTCTTCTACTGCATGATTTCGAGGTAATGAGCATGATTTGAGGCAGCATACCCCTTCTTGGCGTTATTTGGGTTTTGATAGAGCGACTTCTTTCGACTTTTCAACTTGGTACAGAGAGCGAGATGAGACATGGAATTGGTGCAACTGTATAGTGTACGGACTTGCAAAGGGTATACCAGTGGTGGATGGAACGACGATCAAGCGTCATGGGATCAAGATTCACGGACTGTATGTAGTAACAACAAAGCAATACAAGAGACGATATCACGATATATACCACTTGTTCCCCATGCATGATTTGGTGAAAACGTTTGAACGAAAAGGGTATATCACATTTGCTAGTCTTCCATCGCAGAGACTGACTAGTGCTAGACTACAACGCTGCATAAGAACCAACGGAATCCAGTGCTAATCTTCAAATGAAAGAGCAGATAGTAAAGAAACAAGAAACTGAGAGACTGTTCATAGCTACATACATAGGCATTACCTCGTCCGTTTTCCTTTCCTTTCCCAGTTTCGTAGTCCAAGCCAGATCAACTGGCTTTGCTTGCAGATCGTGTATTGTGTTTGGAGAGATGACGGTGCAGTCTTGTAAGAGAGTGATTGTTGGGGATGATGGGGGGTGTTGTGATGATACATTGATGTCGTGTCGTAGCGAATGTGCTGTGGGGTATGGTGTATTGGGGTGTGGTGGTGATAGGAGGCATGAGGAACAGGCTCATCAAATGATAGCCTACAACTCATCCTTCACCGCTTGGGTGGCCTGAGTAGCGGCGCTGGAAATGCTGCTGGCAGCCTCCTCGGCACTACCGGAAGCGGCTGCGTACATGGAGGCAATACGGCTGTTGGCGGCGGCCACGGCGTCGGCAATGCGGCTGTTTGCAGACTCCATAGCTCCTTGTTCTGGTCCATAGACTGCGGAGCTGGCTGCTGAGGATATGTACGATGCGTTTTCACTAACGGCAGACGCGACATACTCGGCGTTGGCGCTGGCCGCAGAGGAGATGGAGCTGTACACACCACCAGCACCGCTTGTAGCTGAGGCGACGTAGTCCGCTGCGGTAGGTGTACCGAAGATAGCTGCGCTGATGGCAGCTTGGGCAGATACGGCGGCTGATGAAAAGCTATCTTGGGCTGATTGTGTACCGTAGAACTTCTCGCTCACCTGAGATTGGATAGATGAGTAGGCGCTCGCAACCGACTCGCTGGCCTGCTCTGCGGCACCCTTGGGCGTTCCGTAAAGAGCGATGGAAGCACTCTCGACGGCAAGATCCAAAGAAGCGCTAGCTTGGCTCAGAACGTCTTCAATCATGGCCGGTGGTGTAAAAACGGCACTGACGACTGATGAGGCAGAAGCGTACGCGTCAGCAGCAGCCTCAGTGACGGCCTCATAACCATCACCAGCATACGAGCTAGCAGCGTTGATACCTTCGCTTGCATATGATTGTGCGGAGGCCATGGCTGCGGGCAGACCAGTGGAGTATGCGGACGCGAAACGGCTCATGACACTCTCAGTGAAGTCAGGCTCCTTGCCGATGACAAGCTCCGAGATAAGAGCCTGAACCTCAGCATACTGTGAAGCGGCGGCAGCGGTAGCCTGAGCACCGTACGCACCAGCCTGAGAGTATACAGACTCTGCCCATGGCGTAGGCTGCCCGTAGACTTGACTGCTCGCCTGGGCAATGAGTGCCTCCCAGTTTTGACTGGCTTGGGAGGCTACCGACTCAGTCCAAGGGGTTTCAGAGCCGACGACACCAGAGCTGATTTGGGAAGCGGCCGACTCAGCAGCAGCCTGGGCGTTCGAAACGGCCGATTGTGCTGAACCAGAAACGTAGGAAGCCGCAGACTCAGCGGAACCAGATACTGCAGACGCTGCAGAAGCTGCCGATGCGGAGGCAACCGAAGCCAAAGATTCAACGGTTCCTTGTTGAGGACCGTATGCAGCGCTCGAGGCAGCGCCGACAAATTCAGAGTACCGAGCGTGGGCTAGACCAATAGCTTCATAGTACTGTCGACGAGCGCTATCAGCAACACCGGTGGACTGAGGTGCAAACTGAGCGGAAGCCTGGCTGAGGCCTTCAGAGAGGCGAGAGGATGCGATGGAAGAGACCGATTCAAAGTAACCCTGAGTAGGGCCAGCGGCATAGCTCTTCACAGATTCAGTGTACTGCATAGCGTTGGACAGTCGCTCGCTGGCGACTGCGAGAGAATCGGAGTAGGCTTTCTCGAAGTAAGAAAGCATGGTTTGGTGGGCTGGCTGGGGCTCTCCAGAGACCAAGAGGGATAGCTGAGCTTTCGCGTTCTCCAACTGTTTGCTTGCCGCGCTGACGGCGTCGTTGTAGCGCGAGCTTGCCTCAATCTGAACGGTCTTGATTATCGCCGTGGGTGTTGGGGTGCCATAGATCGCGTATGATGCCGCAGTCACAGCCTGAGCATATTTGTCGGCTACAACGCTAGTGGCGCTCTCAACGGCTGGTTGCTCGGTACCGTATAGTGCACTTGAAGCCGCGGCGAGGGCCTTTGCGTACTGCTCACTCGCGACTGACGAAGCGGATTCGACAGTACCTTGGGTCTTGGTAGCACTCAGTAATGCTTCGCTGACCGCTCGGCTGATTTCAGCCGCGCGATCTCCAGCATCGGCGACCGCGCTCTGCAACTTGTCAGAGTACGTGTCGTCCTCGTCGTCATCCAGAGGTTGATCGAGGACGACTTCTCTTGCTTCTGCGATGATTTGCGCATTAGCTCCGCCCCACACCTTCTTAGGCGATTCGTAGGCTGCAGAAGCTTTGGAAGCGGTGTCGTCAATCACTTCGGATGCTTTGGAGGAGGCTTGGGACAGCAAGCTCTCAGATGAGGGTGTACCCTGAACGGCTTCGGACGCTTGAGAGGAAATCTTCGACGCAGCATCCTGAACAGATGATGCAATGCTCTCGGTGAGTGGGGTAGAGCTGCCCGAAACAGCCTCAGAGACCTGCGATGAGGCTTTGGATGCTGCGTCCTTGACAGATGAGGCTATGCTTTCACCAAGGGGGGTTGAGCTACCCTGAACAGCTTCGGATGCTTTTGAAGAGGCCTCAGAGTATACACTCTTAGCAGATGATGCAATGCTCTCTGAAAGTGGTGTCGAACTGCCTTGGATTGCTTCAGCAACCTGAGAAGATGCTCCTTCGACGCTGTCCATAACTTGCTGGGCAGCCTTGCGGACACGAGGGGCGAAGACTTTGTCAGAGAAGTCGTCGCTAGCGTCACCGGCCCAGATCTTGGACTTGGAAACGTCTTTCAAGCGTACCAGTTCGGCAACCATATCCGACGCAATGGCCATGGCCTTGTCTTCGAGCTTCTTGGACTCCTCGTGGGCAAGGCGAAGACCTTCGTGTCTTGAGCCAACGGTTTCGACTTCGGCCTGCCACTCGTTGAGCGTGTTCCTCAGCTTGTGGTAGTTCTGCCAGTCCTTGTAGGTAACACCATCAGTCCATGCCTGCCATGTTAGTTAGTGAGGCTTCTAGAAAGGGAAGCTGAGTATAACATACCCATCGCATGCCTACTTCTTGAAGACCAAGGCTGTGGATCTTCTCGAGTACTTCGACAGTGCTCCTGACAGCAGCTTGTACCAGGGAATCAGTCTCCTGGTCGTATGATGCCTTCCACACACGAATGTCCTGGGCGCGCTCCTTGACCGTGAGACCGAACTCGCGAGTTTTGGTGCCGCATTCTTCGTATGCAGCCTCTAAATCGGCATCTGTAGCGTCTTCCGGAAGAGACTCAACAGTCTTCTTGATGTAGCTCTTCAGCTTAGCGATAGTGGAGTCGGCAGTCTCCTCTAGCTTGACAACCAAAGCCTTTCCATGTCCATGGACAGCGTTGTCAATTTGTCGCTTTGTAATTTCTGCTACGCGTACCTCGAGGTCTTCAGAACCCTTGTCTGCCGCTGTGGCGAACTTAGTCTGCCAGTCGCGGAGATCCTGGTTGAGCTTTTCTTGCAGTTCAGCGCCAGTGAGCTTAGGCTCAGAGGGCTTCACGGAGGTTGCTTCAAGCTCACCAGAGGCGGTGTTGGCTGATTCGCTGCCAAAGAACTCGTCGAGGACACCCCAGCCAGACCCTTCAGTGGAGCTGGGAGGGACAATAGAGGCGGAGGAGCTGGCGATGGTAGGAGTATCTTTGATAGACTCAGTGGGAAGAACTGTCTCCGCATCAACCGCAGAGACTACAGACTCGATCTTCTGTTGGTCCCTGTAGCGGCCTAGGCGTTCAGAGATGCGGACCAGCTGAGGCTCGACGTTGTCTCCGTATAGGACGCGCAGTTGGGGCCAAACGGTGCGAAGAACGAAGGCCCAGGTAGCATCCTTTGCGGTATGGACGTGGGGGTAGACGATGTCGACGAGGACGTGGTGACCATAAGCGTGACCCTGTTGGAGGTACGGTTTGGATTGCTCATAGGCTGGTAGCAGGGTGTGAACGTAGATCTCTTCGGAGCTAGTCTTGAGGTCGTTGTAGTATGGAGCAGCAGCATCAGTCGCCTTCTTGACGTGAGGGCCCAGATACACGTCGTACTGTCCCTTGACTTGCTTTTGGGCATTCTCTAGCTGGGGCCGGATGGACTTCTCATACTGGGTCTCTGCGTATTTCCTGGCATGCTCAACCCTGTGTGCACCGTATGTAGCGTAGTTGTCCTGGGCGAATGTTGTAATTGGTGTGGTGTAGGGCTTGACCTTTTCGATGTGCGGGGCGACGTACGTCTCGTAGTATGGGTCGAGATAGGGCGCTGCGTAGGCCCTGGTCTGCAGGTAGGGTTTGCAGACACGCGGGGAGTCGTGGTTGAGCTGGTGGAGCGAATTGGGACACCGGAACAGGAAGGTGATGATGAGATACCACGTGGATAGTCTCGCAATCATGCTTGTGAAAGCTCCCACGATGCCTCGTCGGGGCTTTCGTGGCCGAGCCGACCGCGAGGTGAGCTGCGTCTTGTCTGTGTGGCCGTTGGCAGTGCCATTGGCGGAGCCGTTCAGACTGCCATTCTGCTTGGACTTCTTCGCCCTTCCGTTGGCCTGGGCGGCCATGCTCGCGTGTGGTGGGCGATAAAGCGGTGACGCTGTGTGGCTGACCAGCTTCAGGGTGTCAGAGTTAGTCCAAGTGGGCCAGCAGGAGAGACGGGTGTCGCTACGTACAGAAATTCAGCAACGGGCGGTAGCGTCTGGTTTGTTGATGTCCAGAGAATAATGGTGATGGCTGCTCAAAGTAACTTGTCTGTTAGCGCTGGGGGAGGACAACCGAGCTGCAGCAGTGATGTAATTGCACGTGCGGACGCGGGACGGGAACACGATAGCAAGATCAGGATTTATATGTGCGTTGGACGCCTGGAGAGCGATAGCTACTTTGCAACGGTGCAGCAGGATACCGAGAAATAACAGCTGGAGAAGACGAGCTGGCTGTCGCGATTTCCACTCTTAAACGTGTGCTGCCTCAGGCTTCCCCTGCAGTTCGCGTCTCAAAAAGCACCGCTGGCTGCCGACGACGGTACCAAGAAGCGCGTCTTAGTGTGGCTACAAGGTATGCTAAACGTGTTTGCTGGTTTGCATCTTGTGTTTTTGGTTCTACCCAAGGCAGCAAAGACCCTCGAGGCAAGGCGCCTGTTTGAGTGGCACAGCTTAGCTGGTAGGGCTGGCTATCTTCGTACCAGGACCCTGTGACGTTGATCAAGCAAAGACAGGACAACCATGCATGTGAAGATCCGATCGTCTGTCACTGGTTCAGACTAAACAATCATCTACACTCTCGCACTAGGAGCTAGGTCGCCGTCTTTGCCAGGGGGGTGGATGGCCGCCAAGACCGAGACTGTCTGGCGGCGGCGACATCACCACTTCCCGTTTGTTACACTCAACCACGGTTCCGAGCACAACGCCTCTTTTGCGCTTTCCGCCCATCCTGTTTCACTTCCCTCATTCTAATTCCTACATTGCACCCCATCACGCACTACCCATCTGTGCTATTCGCCCGACCTGATCGCTCTGATTCCGATGCCTACTTGAGGTCTCCGTCTGCGGCATCTGCCCGAACCCGAACCACGACTTGCATTTTCCTTCAACCCGCCTCTTATACCCCGCGTATACTTTTAATCACCCTCCACCATGGCAACTGATGCCGACCCTCTCAGTGCGGGGCTGTTCGACACGGCCCCAACGCACTACGACGTACCCCAGACCTCCGACTCGCAAGCCGCCGATAAAGACGAAGCCGACACCTGCCGCATATGTCGGGGAGAGGGCACCGCTGAAGAGCCTCTGTTCTTTCCCTGCAAGTGCAGTGGCAGCATCAAGTACGTCCACCAAGAATGCTTGATGGAATGGCTGTCGCATACCCAGAAGAAGCACTGCGAACTGTGCAAGACATCCTTCCGCTTCACCAAACTATACCATCCCGGCATGCCAAACCGCATACCCACGGCCGTCTTCGTACGTCGCGCCGCTCTGCACGTCCTCAATATGTTCGCTACCTGGTGTCGTGGGGTTCTTGTAGGCGCTGTGTGGCTCTTCCTACTCCCCTGGTGCATGCGCGTCGTATGGCGTAGCCTGTTTTGGGTCGGCGACGGGGGCTGGTCACAAGAGTTGTTCGCAAATACGTCTCAGACGCCCGTCACGCCAGAGCGCAGCTTGTCCGCCAGAGATTTCGACTTGATCCGTTCCGCAGTCGACAGCGCCAAGAGCACCAACTCGACTTCGACCGTTCGTCTGTCAGATAGGCCCTGGAACATGACAATATCATACACCCCAAACAATGCCACCGCCAGCGAATCCATCATCTGGACTTACGCCAAGAGGTTCTTCTTCGGTGTGCCGTACCCCTTCTCCCAGCTTGCGCAGAACGACAAACCAGGCTATTTCTCTATGCTTGACAAGAACGGTACAGCTCTCAACGCTACCTCAGATCCTCTCGGCATCCGCAGCCCTTCGCTATTGTCCGACGTCCCCTTCTTTAACTGGTTCCAGTCCCAAAGCGCCAATCGGTTCATCATTGACGTGATAGAGGGACAAATCATCACCTTGCTCGTTGTGGTAGCTTTTATCCTTGTCTTTCTCATCCGGGAGTGGGTGGTTCAGCAACAACCTGTGATCAACATGGTTGCTATTGGTGATAACGCTGCTGCGCAAAGGGCAGCGCTCGTAGAAGAGGAGGCTCTTGTGGACAATGTGGTTGTTGACGAGGGTGAGTTGGACGACGCCTTGGATGCACTGGACGCAGAGGTGGCTGGAGAAGCTGAAGACGCCCACGAACCTCGGAATGTTGACGAGAACGAACCAGCGGCTCCTGAACAGCTCGCTCACGACATCGATGAGCCTGAGGCCTCCGAACCTACAATACGCCGTGTTCGCCGATCTTCTTCGCTTCGCAGAGAACGCGACGAGCTTATTCGTGATATAGTACGGGATGGCCTGTCCGACGACGTCAGGTCAATGATGCAGTTGGGACCATCTGATAATCTTGCGGATGCCTTCACTGAAGGTGGTCCGTCTCAAACCCTCCAAGAGACACTTCAGCGAGCGATGAACGCGAGAGAAACCTTGAATCGAGCTGAGAGCGACGGTGAGGCTAGCAGTCCCATCTTTCCTACGAGGGGCTCGTCCCTCTATCAACCTCCAGACTCAACGCTAGATCTAGCAGGTTCCGAGTCATCATCATCTTCGAGACCAAATATGCCAGCACGCGACAAATCTTTCATTGCGACTGAAATTCGCCGTAGCCTAGAGGAAGGTAATACATGGTCATTCGAGAACGTACCAGAAGCATCGGCATCAAACACAAACACGGCTGAGAACGTGCCCGACTCCTGGGAAGATGATGACAATGTGCGTCGACGAGACGACCAAGAGCCCGAGACCGCATCAGAGCAGGAGCCGGGTAGTGAGCACAGTAGTGGAAGCTGGCAACAAGTCCCTGAGATTGTGGAAGATGACTCTGACCAAGCGCTGGAAAGAGAACATGTTCACGACAAGGGTAAAGCCAAAACTATTGACACCAGCACAGAGGATGTTCCACAAGAGTCAACATCGTCCGCAGAAAGTGGTGCTGCTAATATAGACAATGCAATTACAGTCGACACCACGATTGAAGTTGACAACAGCAGCAGCCAACCTGAACAAGATTCGAGCGTCGATCAAGGACAAAGAGATCCCGAAGTCGTTGAGCAAAACCAAGACGAGCAGGCTGCGCCTGTGGTCAACGCACAACCAGCAGAACCTCAACTTCCACAAAACCCAATGAACCAGGTCTTAGACTGGATGTTTGGGGACATAGCGCCCATGGCGCAAGCCGCCGAGGAAGGAGGCAACGACGAGCATATTGTGCGTGATCTGGCAGACGAGGCCCCATTTGTTCCATTCCTAGGGAACGAGCCGCGGGATCATGGCAATGCTGCACCTCAAGATCCTGAAGTCGCTGCTGCTGCTGCACAAGCTGGCATAGACGTCAACGATCAGGAAGCAATCGAAGACGCAGAGGATCTGGAAGGCATACTCGAGCTCATTGGTATGCAAGGACCTATCGTCGGACTCTTCCAAAACGCCTTGTTCAGCGCTGTGCTGATTTCCGCGACACTGGCTTGCGCCGTCTGGCTTCCCTATCTTTGGGGCAAAGTCGTTATCCTGTTCATGGGAAGTCCTATTTCGCTCTTCGTCAAGCTTCCTTTGCAAGTCGTGGCCGCAGTTACAGACTTCGTTGTCGATGTCACTCTCTTCCTCGTGGCTGGTACGACATACTGGGGCTCTTACGCCATCTCTAGTCTGGTAAAACTATGTTCCTTGGGAAAGCTATCTCAAAGCATAGACGGTCCACTCCGCGCAGTTTCCACACCAGCATATTCACTTGCAGAGAGTGCAATGGTCCGCATCGGGAAGATGTTTGTAGAGTCGCCTCTGTCACCTCGTCCCGACTACTTCCGACTCTCGGTCAATGCGCATGCTTCACTGCGAAGTCTACAAAACACGACTTCGTTCGCGCTGAACGAGACTGGTAACTTTGCAAATGCTATCATTGAGGAAATCTCAGCAGACTCTCCGTTTAGGCTCATATTGAGAGTCCTTGGGTACCTTCCTTACTTAGTCCAAAACGTCTGTACGACTGCCTATGGCCAGTGCAGCGCTCTACTCACATGGCTTTGGACCTCCAAGTCGTACAAGATCACTTTTGATCTTGATCTGAACCGCAACACCACTGCAGCATATACTGCAATGGAGCGGTGGACAGCGAGCGACCGCTTGATCGCAATCCTTGCTGGCTATGGATTCTTCGCCTTCGCCGGCGCAGTGTACCTGAGGCGCGGAACTCCTTTCAGCTCGTCGCAGCAAGGACAAAAAATTGAGCGCGTTCTATCCGATATACTACAACAAGCTGGTGGCGTATTGAAAGTCATCCTCATTATTAGCATAGAGATGCTGGCATTTCCGTTGTACTGCGGTCTGCTTCTCGACCTGGCCATGCTTCCACTTTTCAAGAACGCTACGCTGTACACCCGGTGGCAGTTTGCGAGGGAAAGCCCCTGGACATCTGGATTCGTACATTGGTTCATCGGCACTTGCTACATGTTCCATTTTGCCCTCTTCGTGTCCATGTGCCGCAAGATTATGCGCAAAGGCGTATTGTACTTTATCCGCGACCCGGATGATCCAACCTTCCATCCTGTCCGGGACGTTCTGGAGCGTAGTGTTACGACCCAGCTCCGCAAGATCGCTTTCAGCGCTCTAGTGTACGGAGCACTCGTTATCGTATGCCTTGGTGGTGTCGTATGGACTCTGAGCCGCGCTACTACAAACGTCCTGCCAATCCACTGGACGACTGAAGCGCCATCGCTAGAGTTTCCTCTTGACCTTCTCTTCTACAACTTTCTTACGCCTGTCATCATCAAGTTCTACAAGCCTAGCGAAGGTCTGCATGTCGTCTACAAATGGTGCTTCCAGAAGTGTGCGGGCTTCCTTCGTCTATCCAACTTCCTTTTTGGCGACAAAGTCCCCACACAAGAAGGTGATGACGGTCGATATGTTCGTGCACCAGCCTCTGACCAAGCTCGCATTCCAAAGGGGCAGCCTGTCTTTGTCGAAGTCGACCGGGATAACGTGCGTAAAGATGGGCAGACTGAGGGCGGAGTGCACAACTCTGATCTCGTGTCGATGGTATTCATTCCACCATGGTTCCGCGTACGCATCTTCTGCTTCATCGTCACTATATGGATCTTCATGGGTCTCTCTGGAGTCAGCGTTACGATCTTGCCTCTTCTCTTCGGTCGCTACCTCTTCTCTCTCTTCCTCCCACCAACCGTCGAGATGAACGACATCCACGCCTTCTCCCTCGGCGTCTACACCCTAGCTAGCATTGGCTACTCAGCCTATCATGCAGGAAAGTTCATCTCCACCCTGAACAGATCCATCCCAGATCCCATGGCCACCCTCCGCACAGTAGCAGCGACAACATCTCGGGTAGGCGGCCGCGCCCTCCGCTTCTCATATGTTTGGGCCACGCTCATCTTTGCCATCCCCTTCCTCTTCGCCGTCCTCCTCGAACTCTACTTCCTCATGCCCTTGCACGCCTACCTCGGTCCTAAGGAACCCCACGTCGTCCATGTCATCCAAGACTGGACCTTGGGCTTTTTGTACTCTCGTCTTGCCGCGCGTCTCGTGTTTGCGAATCGCAACTCCCGCCCTGCACGCGCGTTCAAGGCTGTTATTCGCGATGGTTGGCTCTACCCCAATGCCAAAATTGCAACAAGGTGTTTCCTTATCCCCGTGTTGGCGTTGTTCCTTGTCGCCATCGCTGTGCCGTCTAGTTTGGCGTTTGTTACCTCCAGAACGCTTTATCGGGGCGCGAGTGAGGCGACGAAGAACCTACTCTGGCGCTTTAGTTTCCCCGCTGTGGGACTTGCTTTGGTGGTCATGTGGGCTTCTTCGGCGGCTGTCAGGCTGCTGGTAAGATGGAGGTTGGTTGTAAGGGATGAGGTGTATTTGATTGGTGAGCGGCTGCATAATTTCGGGGAGAAGAAGGCGCCTGTTCAATCGTCTGTGTCTGCGGTGGATGCTGGGACTCAGACTGCTTAGATTGTTGCTAGTAAATCAGCGTATCAGTTGGTGTCGCTCTGTTCTGAGGTTCTTGTTGGGAGCTCTTGTGTCTTCCTATGATACCTTTTTCTGGAGTGTTTAGGCTAGTCATGATAGACGGCTGGCTCTTTAGCTATACCCCAATCTCATACTATCTTCGTTTAAACGTTATCTCCGTTACCTCATAATATCTTACTCATCTCCTCAAAACGCCAACTAGTTATCATATCGAGCTCGATTGTGTCAAAGCGTATCGTGCATCATGCAGTATATTCATATGAGGAACTCATACCATTGAGCAAAAAGGTAGGCTAGGCTGCTTGATTTGGGTATAACTAGGACATCACTAAATTGGTCTTTCTCCTCCCGTAAGCATGCGAAAGGACCCGTTGATTCCCATCTCGTTTCCTTTCGTCTCATTCAGTAATAGTGTACAAGTGTCGTATTCAAAAGTAGAAAATAAAACAAAAGAAGAATGCCTCCACGAACAGAACATGCATATGCAAGATGCTGAGGAACCTGGAGCTGCTAAAAGCTGAGGGTTCGATGCCTCCATGCTCTTCACTTCCGCTTTCCAGGTTTGGATCGTGTTGTAGGTCGTGATGAAGCAGTTTTGGCTTGACTTGATGCTGTAGGCGCGTCAAATGACCTTGTTGCTCTCTTCTTTAGCGCCTTCGTAGAGCCTTCGACACTCGGCTCGTCTTGTGCCTTCCGCTTCAGAGAGGATTTAGAAGTATCAAGATCGGGGGTGCTTGAGACGGTGTTCGAAGAAGTGGTGTTAACCTCGGAGACGCGAACACTGCGCTTGAGGTCCGATGAAGGTGGTGTTGGTGGTTGGTGTACGGTTTCCTCTATCATGCCCTCTTCTTCGTAAGGTGTTCCTTGACTTGTCCCATTCCGCTGTTTAGCTATCCATGTAAGAAGTTCCTCTTCGGCGGCATTGTGAGTTTCGTCATCTACGTCGTCTCCGTCGTCTTCTCCACCTAGTATCGCCTCTGCCATCTCACCCGCGACATCATCACCAGCACTCTCGTCCGCTGCCATGCGCATAGCGAACTGGAGCAGTTGTTGGGGATCCATTCCGCTCAGTGGTCCGCCAGCAGTAGCGAGTTGTCGCTGCAATGCTGCCATTAGCGCCTCCTGCGGTATTCCTTGTTCTCCATTGTCCATGCCATCGTCCTCCACGTCGCCGTCATCGTCCTCGTCGTACGGAGGAGATGCAGGCTCTGTGACGAAAGCCATTTTTGCTTTCCCCTTTCTTGGCTGTGATGACCGTATCTCTGGCGAGCTCGGTGGTGAGCCTCTGGCCCAATCTGGTATGTCTGCAAGCTTCTCTCTCCAGTTCTTGAACAAGGCATATGGCTGCGCGTTGTCGTCGAGTGTCTTGGGTTTTATGCCACGATCCGCCTGCGAGCGCCAAACAATGGGCGAGTGACCCATTGGTGTCGGTTCGGTCTTGGTGCTCACACTCTCCTTTATCAACCTCTTTTTAGCCGGAACGCTCCTCAGTAGTCGCTTCCGCTTTGAGCCTGCTTTTGCGCCCTTGACATCGAGCGCTTGGAACTGTGTATCATCATAGCCGTCTGATGCGTACTCGAGATCGTTGAAGTAGTCGAAACGGTCCCAGTCGTCCTCCATATCCTCATCGCCGCACGTTGCCGGTGGTGGTGAGGCAACAGCGTGCTCTGCGAGATCGTCGGCAGCCATGTACTCGTCTTCGACATAGAAGAAGTCGCCATCGTAATCATCGTCGTAGTCTTCGTAGTCGCTCATGCTGGGCAGGATCGAGGGTAGTGTATGCGATTACTTGGGCTGAATGCAGTTGCGGACGCTGTTTAATGCGAGACGCGAGCGCGCATTCAGTGGCGCGTTTCGGCGGGAAGGTGATGGGAAACGCGACTATATCGTTGCGCGTCTGTGTCGTTGAGTCGGAGGGTCGAGTCGGGGTTGCGTGGTCGGGGCGAGTAAGGGTGTGAGGGTATGACGCGGGCGTGCAGAGCACTTCCCTGAGCGCACGGTGGTCATCAGCGCAACCTCAAGCCACCAGCTCGAGGGAGTCGAGACGGGCGGAGAGGAAACAACTCGGCATGTGTGACTAGCCGTGCGACCACGGATGCCGCCACATGCTCCTTCCCTATAGAGATGGCATGGGTGCAGCTTCTGCAATTGTTTGCTGCAGTAAACAGAGCGCGCCTTCCCCGCGAATTGACGTACCGCGGCTCCACGCGGCTTAAACACCACCGAGGCTCCTTCAGACTCTCTTCCGCAGTTCCACAAAGAAAGTACTTTTGTAGCTGTTCAATCGATACTTTTTGCTCCATAAACTCTCCCCGTGAACATGCGTGCCTTCAAAAAGTCTTCTCACCTCTCCCGCCAGCTCTTCGCTACCAATGGCGTCCGCTACAACTCCACTATTGCGCCAGCTTCCAAGCCGCTTACCTCTGTGCTTATAGCAAACCGCGGAGAAATCGCCTTGTGAGGCTGCTGCTGAGACATGAAAGACTTGGAACTAACACGGTTTCTAGGCGAGTTGGAAGAACAGCCTCAGAATATGGCATCCGAACTACGACGCTCTTCACAGACCCAGATGCTCGATCACAACACGCACTGAGCTCGCCGTACGCCGTAAACCTCGGAGACCCTTCGGCATATCTCGATGGAGATAGAATAATACAAATCGCGAAGGAGCAAGGCTGTCAGGGCATTCATCCGGGCTACGGCTTTGTACGAATCTCCGTTTTTGACAACGTAGACTAGAGGCTAATGTAGACGATAGTTGAGCGAGAACCCTACGTTTGCCAGAAAATGCACAGACGCAGGTCTGACATTCATTGGCCCACCATGGCAAGCAATCGAATCCATGGGAAGCAAGAGGCAGGTGACACGCACACACTTTAGACATGGCAACTAACACATGGAAGTGAGTCGAAGGATATCATGACCAAGGCCGGCGTCCCCTGCATCCCAGGCTACCACGGTTCCAATCAAGATCCAGAATACCTCAAAGAGCAGGCAGCGAGCATCGGCTACCCTGTGCTCCTCAAGGCCGTCAAAGGCGGTGGCGGCAAGGGTATGCGCATCGTCAATACCGAGGCTGAGTTCTTCGATCAGCTCGCGTCGGCAAAATCAGAAGCACGGAATTCTTTCGGCGACGAAGTCATGCTAGTGGAGAAGTACATTACCACACCTCGCCACATCGAAGTCCAGGTCTTCGCCGATAAACATGGCAACTGCGTTGCGCTGGGTGAGAGAGACTGCAGTATCCAGCGTCGGCATCAGAAGATCCTGGAAGAGTCACCCGCACCACACTTAGATGGAGCCATTAGGCAAGATATCTGGGAGAAGGCGAGGCAGGCTGCGCTTGCAGTCGGTTATGAAGGAGCAGGCACAGTCGAATTCATCTTCGACAATGAGACTGGCGAGTTCTTCTTTATGGAGATGAACACAAGACTGCAAGTCGAGCACCCGGTTACAGAGATGGTAACAGGCGAAGACCTCGTGAGATGGCAGCTCATTGTTGCTGAAGGCGGAAAACTACCCCTTACCCAACAAGAGATTGAACAGAGGATCAAGGAGAGGGGCCACGCCATCGAAGCTCGCATCTACGCTGAGAACCCAGACATGAACTTCATTCCCGATTCCGGACTTTTGCTACATCTGAAGACTCCCGTACCCACTTCCACTGTTCGTATTGACTCTGGCTTCATCGCTGGCGACGAAGTATCCTCGCACTACGACCCCATGATTTCCAAACTTATCGTTCAAGGCCCCACACGTGAGGCTGCTATTCAAAAGATGCGAGCTGCCTTAGAAGAGTACGAGGTCGCAGGTCCTATAACGAACATCGAATTCATCAAGCGCATGTGCGTATCACCAGACTTTGTCGCTGGCGAAGTAGAAACAGGATATATTCAGAAGCATCACGCTGAGCTTTTTACGCCTGAGCCCCTAGCAGCAGAAGTTTACGCGCAGGCCGCCTTAGGTCTTGCGCTGCAAGAGATTTCCTCAGCTAGAGGAGACGTATGGACTGGACCGCCAGTAACAGCTGTAGGATTTGGTTTCAGCAGCTCATACCAACAGCGGGAATTCAACCTCATTGAAATCCCCGCCGACGGCAAAGGAGAAGCCAAAGCAACAAAGGTCAGCATCCGGCAAACCAGCCCCCAAAAATTCGACATCAGCGTTGGCGAAAAAACATATGCAAACGTCACATCAACCTTCTCCCCCTCCAATAACACATTGACATCTTTCTACCCACACACCCGCCTAGCCACAACCTTCATCCGCGACGAAGACCGCCTCACTCTTTTCCACCTCGGTCGCCAACACCGTCTCAAGCTCGCAATGCCCGAGTGGACGAAGAAGGCGCTTGGCGTCAAGGACGTAGCAAATAGCGTTCTTGCACCCATGCCTTGTAAAGTCCTCAGAGTGGAAGTCGAGGAGGGCCAGGAGGTCAAGAAGGACCAGGCGCTTGTTGTCATCGAGAGCATGAAGATGGAGACTGTAATAAGGAGCCCGAGTCACGGCATCGTTAAGCGGATTGTGCATGGCAAGGGGGATCTGTGTAAAGCAGGGACTGCGTTGGTGGAGTTTGAGGAACCAGATGCAGAGGCGGAGTCGAAGTAAGAATTCTGTCTACACATTTCACACGTGTGTGCAATCACAGAAAGAAAAAAATTTACGAGTTATGATATGTATACTGTTGACCGGAAATTTATTTATAGATTCTGTTTCTGTCTTTAGTGACGTGAATATGAAAAGAGTGTCTGGAAGTAGGTGCTGTATATGTCTACAAGATAGCTTATACTTGGTGCCAAACTGCTCAATGACATTGATTGTACCTTCTACGCAGCGAGTTGTGTTCAATGAATCATTTCATTGTGAGCAAAACTTTCCGTGCAAATACTGTTCGCGGAACACACAGGCGAAAAATGGAGGCTATACAGAATATAAAGTAGTAGACAATATGTTTAAACGAGTCTTCGCTAATGAAATAAATCACAACAATTACAACCCGCAGAGCTCCTTGTACGTATCAGTACATATGCATGAATTAAGAACGATAGAGTATTGGACTCATATCTAAACGTGTTCTTTTACGTACATGTTCCAATGTCTAAGGTCATGATAGATTTCTATGATATACGTTCAAGTCACTACTAGCTGGAAACATGAGTGTCGATGAGGAGAAACACGTAGCAGATGACTTTAGCTTAACACATCCCGAGTAGCATGGTGGCACCATTCATATAGTCCAGTGCTATATGAGCGGTAACACATTTCTTACCTAGCTGGATAGGTCGAATCGCAGTAGCGCAGAGCAACATTGGTATGGCTACTGCAAGTATCTGCTCTTTCAAAGTATCCCTGTTGTATCCATGGGACCGAGATGTCGACTCTGGAGGGCGAGGCTACGCTGAAGGTGAGATGAAGGCGTTGGGAGGACGAGAGAGGTATGCGATGGGTGTTGCTCGTACAACGGGGGAGGCGTAACGGGGCAGGCTGGGTGACTTGGCTGGTAGGGGTTGTTGTCTAGTAGGTAGGTAAGTTGTCTGTAATGACTGTAATGTCTGGAAGGGAAGGATCAAAATAGGCTGGTCGCCCTTGTGGTTCTCCAATACACAACAAATCTACCGTTCATATTGGTCGTTAGAACAGCGTTGTGACAAGCCATGGCTAGCCACAGAGGACGAGAATGGTCGCAAGATATACGTCATGACAGTCACGGGAAAAAGGGTTCCTTATGTGAGCCAAGTGCTCTTTTACAGGCAAGTTTGTTTTTGCTCGTCACCCATCTGACCAAGGCACCGTTGTATGCAGTATCTCAAGACCCAGTGCGGATCAGATGGACACGCACTGGACCTCCGTTCCACTGTCTTAGGGTCCGCGATCTGTCATCGATCTTGAGAAGCATTGCATGACTAACTTGCTGTAAACCTCCGCGGCCCACAATTTAGTCAAGACCCAACAAGTCTGATCTTCACAAGGTCGTTGACCGGAAAGGGTCGCGGATCCGACTGTCGGCTGCACACATCAGCTGTTCACATCAGTCAGTCCATGACGGGACGATGAGCCCGACCATAGTAACGACAAGGCTTCCCCTCCAGTGTACCGCAATGCAGTCTGTGAGTTCGAAACGCCCAGGACAGTGCCTCCCCCATCTCAGCACTGCAGTAGTTTGTGGCAAGAAAAGTTTCTAACCAGGTCTAGGAACTCTTGTGCCGTATTTGCGGTTTACTGCCCATGTTCAACCTGTGACTGGTGGAATGCGCAAGCTGGGCTTGCCTCAGAGTAAGTTACTTTGGGCCACTGATAATCCCGGTTGTTGGCTGTGCCTTGTTCCCCCCGTCGACCAGGAACATCCTACTAGGACACAGCCAACGAGATGACTGCCAGCTCATCTATGTTCCCCGCACACTTGCGTTTCGCTTCAAGCTTCACTTGTTTTTCGGGCAGTCGTGACGAGCCTGGGTCTCTTTCGGATCAAGGCGGACGGTTAGAGCAACGGCAGGTCGATGCTGATCTTGGGTAGCAATCATGTATACAGTAAGCCGCAGTGTGACGCGTCAGAAGGTGGGCCGATAGGGTAAGAGTGTTGAGATCTTATGGAGACTGCAGTGTATTTTGGGCTTTGGCTGTTCCAACGGTGGGGAACGATGAGGAGATGGTATGAGCCAACAAAGGTTGTCAAGCTGCTAAGATGCTTGAGAACGGCAACGGTGTTCTCACCAAAGTGAGGCGGTCACTGATGACTGTTCTCTTGACTTATCAGT